TTTAAAATATTTTATACTTTTGTTATTTGTTTGTATAATTTGTTACCCTTTTTCATATACATTGGTTAGCCTTCTTTGTTCACTTGCGTCAAGGTACTAGTGATAAAACTTTAAAAGATCCTGTATGTTGTAATTAAAGATGTAACAGCACTTGAAATATATTATATGTACATAATTGTATCATAGTTTGGAGACCTTTCTGTTGAAAATGTGTCGGGGTTAAATCGTATACATATACATGCACAGTGCATTAACTGGAGTGCGGGTATTAGTTACCCGCACTCCAGAGCATGCCCATTGATTGGCTCATTTTTGCTGGGGTTTACATATTGTGACGGCAGAGAAAGGGAAAGCGACAGAAATGTCATATTCAGATGTTCGTTCATTGGTTCATTTTTGCCGGGGTTTCATATTGTGACAACAGGGAACGTGCTTTTATGTTTGACTATGATACAAAAGAGAAAGAACACCAAAACACTCGGCAATCTGATTAATACTCGGGGGCTACGCCCCCTCGTACAAATCAGATAGCCTCGTGTTTCGGTGCTCTTTCTATTACTTATTCTTCTAAAACAATTTCAACAACAAAGAATATGTTAAATATGTACTGCAAATGGTTATTTGCATTATAAGTAATCATTAAAATCTATGCATTTATTTATTATGATAAGACTTTATCGAAAATAGATTTCTTATCACCTCCCTTTATTTACATGAAATGTAAATTCGGTAATATCTTTACAAAAAAATGCTTTGTTGAACTTACAATATTGATAAATCTTCATTTGGGCATCAGATTTATGATATAAAACCATAAACAAATTTGAGTTACAGGATCTTTTAATTTTTTTCTACAGCTTTTGTTTATTTACTAATGTCTTTCATATTTAGTAGGTAGATACTTTGTGTGGTCCTCTTAAGTCACCGGTGCAAAAATTTCTTTTTATACTTTTGCTTTGCAACCTTTATCTATTGATTGATGTCTTTCTTATAAATAGATAAATATCTTAGTTTGTACTATTTTAACTGTGGGTGGACAATTGTGACAAGGTCAAGGTTACCAGACTGTTGAAAATAAATGATTACAATTTTACTCATGCAGTCATTATTTAATGACTTATTATCTTTAATATTTTGTGTGAAGATATCTTTGGTTGTCTTCCAACTTTGGCTGGAATTAGTGAGCACTTTGGTCAAGGTCAGTGACCTTAACCAAAGAGCTAAAATTTATTTTTACACTTTTGCTCAGACTTATGTGCAATGTATACATTGCTAGATGTGCAAAATCAGGAAGTACGAGTAGTTAATGTATTATCAGCGTTATTTTCAAATACATAATGTAAAATTTATATGTTTCTACTGATATTGTTTTCTCTATATTAAAGATTATGTTCATATTTATATTCCAGGATATGTGATGTTTGCCAACGGCAAGGATAGCACTCATGCCGGGGATATTGTCAAATTCCAATCAAAGTCATTGAAGTTTCCGCCAGGATCGCACATAGAAGTCGGGTTTTCGTACATCTTCTCGGAGGCTCACACACATCCGATGACTTTGTCTGTTTACGTAACATCTGGAGGACAATCACAAACACCTAATTGGGTCAAAACCGGTACAAATACATGTATTTATTCACAGAAAAAAGTCAAAAGCTAAATTCCACACCATTACCGCTAAATGTTGCAACCGACGCTACATGTCGCAAAATATTCTGCCGTTCAATGTCGCAATGATTGCATTTAATGCCGCACGATTTTCCTTTGCCGTTAAATGTCACAACACTTCCGTTTAATGTCACAAGATGTATATTCATGATAAGATTAAGTTAATTGGTGGTATTAAATTTTAAGAAACATTTAGTAAATGTTTGTATATATTTAGTAACATTGGGGCATAAAGGAATGTCCCGATACATCTACCGACTGAAGATGAAAAATGCTTTTAAAGCGGTTTGGTCTACAATGAGCACGTTTACTAGACATATTTATTTCAAATATTGATAAAAACAATAGAAACACGTATCATTTGGATATTCTTACAAAATATTTCTTACACAAAAATGTTTCTCTAGTTCTACATGAATTAATGTGACAATTATATAATGAATTACTAATAGTTTGTTCTAAAATATTTAATTATTTACATCCACATATACAGTAATTCTGTCAAGGTTTGTTATCACACATGATACTACAATACAAATATTTGAGCCGCGTCACGACAAAACAAACATAATGGGTTTGCGACCAGCATGGATCCAGACCAGCCTGCGCATCCGCGCAGTCTGATCAGGATCCATGCTGTTCGCTTTCTAACCCTATTACAAATAGAGAAACTGATAGCGAACAGCATGGATCCTGATCAGACTGCGCGGATGCGCAGGCTGGTCTGGATCCATGCTGGTCGCAAACCCATTATGTTGGTTTTGTCGTGACGCGGCTCATTTATGGTATTGCATATTTTCCATCATAGACCAATACACTTTAAATGTCCTAGTTGTTTGTTTGCAATTAAAAAATTCAATTATAGTATGCAACTACGCTACTAGATGGTGTATATTATACTCATCTTTTAAGTATATTCTTTGTGTACTTTTGCAAGTTTATAACTAGACTACGTCACTGTCCATATTTATGCCCCTCACCGCTGTTTGTTAGAATCCCTCCAGGCACTTTGGATTTTTCATGTGTGGAAGCTATCCAGCTAGTTTAAGCCTAGGTCACAAATAAGAAAATGCCGCCGGGCGGCGTCTGTTTCTCCAAAAAATCGCAATATCGGCCGGCGTCCGACCGGCGGCAGTGACTATCGGACGGCAGCAGCTGAAAATTTTGCTCATCGGGCGGGCGCCTTCGAGTTTTAAGTAATACTTAAAAGCTAACGGCGGCCGGACGATAATTTTTGGGGTCACTGAGTATAAAATATCATCGAGCGGACATCGCTCGGTCGCCGGGCGGCGACCGGGCGATGATTTTTTGATCGGGCGATTTTTTGTTCTACTAAAACACCGTCCGATTTAAAAGGCGTTCGGGCGGACATCGGCCGGGCCCCGCCCGGTGCCTGAATAGAGACAAGTTGTCAAACGATTATCGCCCGGTACCCGGACGATTCATGTACATGCACCGGGCGGTCATCGTTTTGTCATCCGGCGACCGGGCTGCTTGTGTTTGTTGTAATTTCAGCTTGAAGAAGTTGTAATTGCCTCAAAAATATATTTGTGAATTTATTTTGAATACTAGTTAACATGAATTTTTTCTTCAATGTCCATGTGAATGTCTGATTGATTTTAACCTTCTACGGCCTCGATACTGACCGTTGGTGACTCGGTGTCAACAACACGGACCATCTCCTTGGCCTTCCCCTTGGCTTTGGCTGCTGACTTCTTTGCTGGCATAATTATAACTGGCTGATTTATAAAGGATGTCATTAAATGTAAAGTCATTGTCGCCCAGCGCCCGCGCGCAACCGTCCGATTCACTTTTAAATCGCACAGGCGCCGTACGGACATCGGGCGGCGACCGCCCGATCCGTTCAATTCTTTCTGTAAAATCCATTCGGCAAAAAATCGCCCGACGACTGTTTCATTCATGACCACGCAAGGTATCAGATTTAAAATCGCCCGGCGTCCACGACATTAAAAAATCTGCTGATTTTATAAAAATCGTTTAATCGGACGGCGCCCGTTTTATTTGTGACCTAGGCATTACGGAACGTCGGTTGTTCTACTAAAGTGCCTGTTCGTGCAGGGTATCTACCAGTAAAGCTGGACAATCTACATATGACATTACTGTGTTGGTGTGACTTTTCTATGTCTATAACCTGATTGATTAGGACTTTGCATGTCCAAATTAGACGTTATAAAAACTTATCCTTATTTGTTCTTTGTAATAACAACCTAATTAAAAAGTACAAAATTCATTTTATATTTAATCTTATGAAGCTCCTCCTAATTAAAATTTTATTTCTCAACAACTAACATTTTTATTTCTAAAAATACTTTTTATTAAGAGTTACAAATTTGTTATTAGGCTTATTTCTCCTATGAGTAAAAATTCCCATTTAGTAACAAAATCTCTTAGGCTTTTATAGCTCTTAATGAAAATTGAGAAAGTTCTTATTAGGCTTTCGAAACTCCTAGACAGAAGTAACAAAATCCTAATTAGGCTTTGACAACTCCTTTTTACGAGTTTAACAGATTTTTAATAACATTACGATTTAGCACCAGATTTAGTTTTGAAGATTTGTAGAAATAGATTAAGATTGTTATTTTGCGATAAATGATGTTTTTTACTTACCAATTATTAGGATAAGTATCCCGAGAAAAAATACATGTATTTGAATTTAAGAATATTATGATTTTATTTTGTAGCAATAGATTAATAATCTTCAGCTCGGTACACGCTACACAAATTCTATAATACAGCTTTGAAACTGCCTTTATGTCTATCTAACTGTAGCATATGCCTTTAATCTTTCATTTGTTAAATTTTCTCAAGATGGAAAAGTTATCAATGCGATAGGTGCATCAAAGAAACACTTTTTAATGACACACAATAAACAGACAGCTTGCCATTTCATATTACCTGAAAATATAGCAAATACGAATTCAACATTGGGTGACATATAGAGGATATTGAATGAGTGTATGTTCAAAACTGAATCTATTCAACGAGTTGAATAAATTATATTATGTGAGCCTCTGGCGAATTTTTCGGCGTAGCTGTATTAAAATGGATTTTGACCTAGATTTGTAACAAATGAAATTGTTAGTTACAAAATCTTCAGCTAAAAGAGGGTGTTTTTCGTATAGGATAGATCATGAGTACCAGTTGGATGTGAGATTTATCAACGAGCGAAGCGAGTTGATAAATCTCACATCCAACTGGTACGAGCGATCTATCTGACTTAGACCACAGGTAGTTTTCTCTGTTTAAGGTGAAGATTAAACATGCGTAAACGATTTCTTCTCCGACTTATTACATAGGGATATCCAAATATTTCTTACTCAATCTATTTGGCCTTATTGTAGGCAATAAAATGCACGAGAAAACGGCATAATTCATGTTATTTCATGAATATAGTCACTGAATACACAATCTTATGAATGATAGATTTTACATTCCATTATAAATTTCTACTCAGAAGAAAATTGGGAAAAAAATTAACATTTCTGAATGTGATGACATTACAATTTCGCAACTTGGGAGATTTTGCTGTTATCCCTGTTCATTCCTCATTTAAATGATTTAATGATAGCACCGTACACAGCGCTTGAATAAGAAGTCTAGAAGCAAGACTGCTTTCCGAAAAATACTCTTAGAAAGAAATCATGGGCGATGGCTGCTTATCAAAAGTGGGCGTGTTGGAGAAACGGACAGGTAACTTTCATTTAACGTTTTCCTTAATGCTTAAACAATTCTATGAGACAGGATATTATTGGTTGTCCGGCTGAAGTTGAAAATATTTTACTTGACGTATAGATTTGTTTATTTATATACATCCTGCATTGACGGTTTTTTTTACCTCATTCATGAACTAAAAAGTATTACAAACGTCCCTCTGAAGCCTTAAAGCATAGCATTTCCTTAGCGTTGCAACTGCAGCCCAGTAACCTTTCGGAAACTCCACCCCCTTCCCCACCAGTGGAATCCCCTCTTCCCAAACCAGTAAATGAATGTAAATCTACAATGTCTGCTATTAGGAATGAGCCGGGCATAATTCAGGATGAGATTATTGAAATATGTGCCTGCCAATATTACAGTAGCACAAAAGGGGTCGTTAAATTAAAATACATATATAGACTTAAGTAGTTTTGATAAACGCGCATTTCATTTTATTATTGCTTGTTTTTTCTTATTTACAAATACAGTAACTATTGAAATGACGAAATAAATTGGTGAAAGGACTATTGCTATCTGTTAGGTGTTTTATTTTTTTGGGTCGTCAGACCAAACAAATAATGATAGCGAAATTTCAGACCCTGATGCTGTTAATTGCAAATGCCGAAAGTAGTCCGTTTTTGAAGCGGTTAATTCCCTTTATATGTACACTAACGCCGAAAAATTCAGGGGAGATCACTGCGTATCGATGGTCAAATGACAGGCGCATTAATTTTCAAGCAAAATAGTTCCCGGATGGTCGAATATTTCCTATATTGTTTAATTCTTTATAGATATACATGCTTATAGTAAGCTCCATGATTATTTACATCTGTGTTAAACAACAGTAAGCATCGAAATAAAAAGGGTTACAAACCCTAATTTAGAATAATATGGTTTTCTTCAGGCCGTTAACATATAACTTCACCGTGATCGAGGGGTTTGCGCGCTCCCTTAGGAAGCGAGAGGTCTGGAGTTCAAATCCCAATTAAGGCAACTCATTTTTTTTTCAAATTGTTTAAGTTAAATAAACATTGAATTGAATATCAGTGTTGCAATTAGTCTTATAGCCAATTTACTACAATTAAAACGCTGGAAGGCATTGGTGGCACTATACAAAAACAAATTGGTTGATTCAGCGCCTTCAGTTCTTTGATTTTAAAAAGGGCATTACACTATTTACTTTACCATATACATAAAACTTTTCCCCGCATAAAGCGTGCACATAACTGTTTTTTCCTTTCAGTTGAATACAAACATGATAGTTATATCAAACACTTTACTGTGATGTGTGGGATATATCAAACACTTTTAAACTTCTCTGATTGGCCGAGAGAAAACAGCTGTGGTCTAAATTGGTGGAAAGACTGGCTGTTATGAAATTTAAGGACAAATTCGTAATCTTTAGTTTACTTGTCTCTAAGAATAAAGTTGTATTAAAAATATTTATACAATCGTAAACTAAATATCACAACGTTATGACCAAAACAAAGATATATCAAAATACAAAAATATACAGTACATGTGATTTCATGTACAATTTATTTTGTTGATAATATTAACAACAAACCCAACTTTTTGTTTTTCAGCCTTTACTTGAACATTCAAAATACAAAAATATACAGTACATGTGATTTCATGTACAATTTATTTTGTTGATAATATTAACAACAAACCCAACTTTTTGTTTTTCAGCCTTTACTTGAACATTCGATTACTACTCACTCGTACTTTATTTGCCGTAGCTTTTCTATTTTCTATGAAAATGAACGATATTTTTGATCAACAAACAGATTCTCCTGAGCTGATATGAATTGCAAAAATTAATATATTTAAAATGCAACATTATCATAAAGAATCGCAAAACTTTAAGTATTATTTTTTATGCGTAATAATAACAAATTAATTTATTCCTAGTTATTCGGCGTTTGTTTACACCGGTAAGTAAATTTACCGAAATACACCCCAATTGATTACCTCAATCTGAAACTGTCTCACTTGATAATCAGTGTCATTGATGGGTTATACAAAATTGAGTTTAGTACTTATTATAAGATAAATAGATATATTTCTGTATATATGGAACAACATTTATATTTTACATTCCACATTTAAAGTACATTGTAAAATATAACCTGTGTAGGTGTACGACACGTAGCCATGCCAGTAGGCTTAACTAGTACCACCACCTCATACCCCTCTACAACCCCCGCCCAAAAAATATTTATTTGAATAAAATCATTTAAAGCATAATAAATATTAAAAAAACACAGATCTATCCGTAAAAATATACTATATTATAACACGTTTTTACATGTATGTTTTTTTACGGATAACCAGTATAGTATACGCTCGAATTTTTTTTTCAATGATCTGTGATATTTTAACGATATTTATTATGTTTTAAATGGTTTTATTCATATATATTTTTTTGGATCGTAGTTGGATCTAGGTGAGGGATTAGTTACTGACCCGGCTAGCTCCGTACACTTGTCGGGCACTGATTGTCAGAAGACATGGTTTTGGTGGTTGAAAGTAACTTGGGGTTAATTGAAACCACCAAAAATAGATTTACGTCTCGTTTAAAGTTGCGAGAACAAAAAAGAAGAAGAAAACATAGTAAGAATTATTAATGGTAGATTACACTTTTGATTTAAGTCTTCAATTATTCATTTTCATTGCCAGATAGATAAGAAGGCATTTTAAATAGTATAGTTCAGAGTTGATATGTTCCATTGATTGTTTATTACAGTTTGTATTCTTTCATGAATAAAAGATATAAACAACAAAAGATTTTGGTGTTATTATCATGACCTAATAATTGCAGCATTTTATGCACATAAGTGCTTTTACAAAATGAAGGTCAGATACATATAAGTCAATATTATTTAACAATAAAATTCAAGTTGTCAGCTGATTGTGGCCTTTGCAGTCTCTAAATTTGGTAGTGTGGTTGGTTATTATCTGGTATTGACTTTGAAATCAGTAGTCAAAAGTCACGGTGACAAAAAAGCTTCTAGCATCTATAATAACATGACTAATTTGTTGACATTGTAGGAGCATACATGTTTCAGCTAAGTTTAGACAACTCTCATAGATTATACTAGTAACCACCAAATATATTTCACTTTAGACATTTATATTGTTATAAAGTATAAATATCATTAATTTTGACAATATTCTAAAGCTATGAGACATTTTGCACTGAATTTACGCCGATTATCTTTTTTAAAGATATTTCTTGTTTTTATTTTATTCAATGAGTTCAACAATTAATTTAGTAATGAACTTACACGAATATAATACATGTATTCTATTTATCACACACGCAAATTAAAAACTGTTCAAAGTAAAAAAGTAACATTTCATTGACGCGCCTTTAGTATAACGCTAACATTTAGCGCGTCTTAATGCAGATTGAATTTGAATAGAATCTTTCTAAAATAATTTTCTCAGTGTGTTAGATTTTAATCTGATGTCGTAGCTTAAATCAACGACATCTGGGTTGCTAAATGAAAAAACGTATATAAATGTGTTTTATCACCAATGGGGCTCTTTTGCATAAATTGTACAACCAGTTACTTTGTACTTAACAACAGATCCTTCCCTATATGATAGATAGCAAGTCCCCATATCACTTACATAACGTTAAAATAATACCAGTTGTTTAGCATAAATTTAGATATTGCAGCATTAAACGGCAAGGGAAAATGGTGCAATATTTAATATAATCATTGTGACATTTAACGGCGAAATATATTTAGATATTTAGCGCCGGTTGCGACATTTAGCGGCAAAAGCGCGACATTTAGCGACATCTAGCGTCGTTGGGACATGTAAAGGCGACACGATATGACACTTTGAGTTATAGGGGCATTACATCTTGAACGGCAGTGTTACTTACCATTAAGATTTAGCACCCGTGTAAAGAAATGGCGAAATATATCTATTAGCAAATAAAGAGGTCAACTTAAATGTTGTTGAAATAGTTCATAACTGAAAAATAATTTATAAATTTTTATGACATCGAAAAGTCAGAACACGTCATAATGCATTTTTCGTTTTCAGTTTACTTGATATTGTCCATTATCCGATTTGACTGTGATGCATTTAACAGAAAATTGCTATGTCACATAATTTTTCAAATCTTGAGTAATGAAATAACACATTTTTACGGAGTGTCAAAAGCGGCACAGGTGTGTACTCACTGATAACTACCATTGATTAAGGTTTATTTTCAATCTAGGTCACTTGTCTTCATTGAAACCTCGTTGGCATAGAGTTTGTTTTGGAACAACAACTGTAAGTGGTGACGTCACTGTTGTCTTTGAAGCGAAAGTATCATATAATTCTAATAACGGAAATCTTGCAATTGATGACGTCGTTATTGAACCGGGAACCAGTTGTCATTTGTACAATCACGTGTCTACGCCGCCGCCCTCTATAACTACGACTACGCATTCTAGCGCAAGTATGCTCAAATATTAAATTGTGTTAGTTTTGTCCGATACTAATACATGCACTAATTTTATTTGTTTCATTGCAAAAAGCTTTTCACTATTTATAGTTATAAAACACAGATAATTCATGACAGCGGCTTTCAACAAACTGTTCACTTAATAAACTTTTTTTCCTAAAGAATTTTCAGAAATACACTATAAAATCTATAGATAGTGAATAACAATGCCATTATCTGGAAAAAGTAGATATACAAACTTGATGTAATTTGCTGTGTTTTAATTTGTAGATGTATCTTCAGTGACTTGTAACTTTGACTTACCAAGTATTTGTGGTTACCTTAACAGAAATTCTGGCGACAACTTCAACTGGTTAAGACACCAGATGGCTACACAATCGGTGGGCACCGGACCAAACAGTGATCACTCATCGGGAGAGGTTCATCATCTGATTATTTTTACTATTAGTTTTGATGTTACAATTTTAAAGTATATAAAACCTGAACTCCGTCTGATAATCCGTCCGGAAAAAATCATCCGAATAATTTGTCGTCCTTATGTGTATGTCTTGGTTGGCTTACAGCTGGCACTCTGATGAGATAGTTGTAACAGCTTCTTTCATTGTGAATTAACATGTGAAATATTATTTTCTTTACATACACATCAAATAAAGAGGAAGTATGTTTTCCTTAGTAAAGCACTTGAAATTTCGGACCTATCTACCGTTATACTATTTTCATTATGAAGAAATTTACACACTAATTAAATCAAAAAATTATAATAACTATATATTTCACTTTTTCCTCCTTTACCAAATTCAAAAAATTTAAATTTCTTTTAAACCCAAATTTACCAATTTCCTTTTTTTAAGGCAATTTTTTAAAAACCCTTTTAGTTTTTTTAACAATTTTTGGTTAATTAAAGAGGGGGTAAAATCCTTTTCCAAATTTTCCCCGAAAAATTTAAGGGAAAGTGAAAAAAACCATTGGCTTTAAAAAAAATTTAAAAAAAGGTTTTTTTCCCGTTTTCAAATTTTAAAACCCCGGGAAAAAACCCCGGGAAAAAAATTCCCCCAGTACGGGGACATTTTGGTTAAAAAATTTTTTGTTTTAAAGGTAGAAACCTCCATTTGGCCAAAGGAAAAATTTTGGTTTTTAAAAACGTTTTTTTTATAAAAATCCCCCAAAGGCGGGGAACCCCCTTTCCCAATAAAGTTTTATTAAAAGGAATTTAATTTTTGGAACTCAAGTTTTGGTCTCCAAGTTTGGTTTTTCCCGTTTTCAAGTTAGAAATTTAAAAAACATATATTTTTAAAATGTTTTTTTCTAATTGTTAACATTTTTCCAATTGTTTTTAAAATTTTTAAAAATTTTTTAAAACGAAATGATTTTGGGGCAAAAATTGGCCAAAAAAGGGTTAAAAAAAACCGGAAAGGGGAAAATTTTGGCTTAAGAAAAACATTGGTTTTAAAATTAAAATTTTTAAAAAGAAAAAAACCAAAAACCCTTTTTAAATTTCCCCCTCATTTAAAAATGAGGAAAGTTTTCCATTTTTTTTTTTTAATATTGGAAAAACAAATGTTAAACAAGAATTTTTTTTTTTTTTAAAAATGAAAATATAAAGTGAAAAATTCATTGAAACAGGCACAAACAGTGTAACAACTTTTAAAAATTAATTTTTATCAATCTGGTTTAAAAAAAAAATTTCGTACATTTTGAAATTTATCATTTTTTTTGAATATACTTTCATCAACAATACAAAAGTTGTTCATTACATTATATCATGTACAGTTATGAAAAAATAATGATATGAAACATAGCGGTGTTTTAATCATTTATTCGATTTTGGTTCATTTGAAACGTCAGCAGGACCTCTAAGAATATAAGTCCTATCGACAAAAATTTATGGACATAGCTTTTATATTCCGACATGTCATCTACAAGTATTTGTTCTAAATTGTGTGTGTATGTTTGTATTTTTTGAATGTTAATCTAAATCAGGTACCTAACCCAATCGACTTGGGCCAGCGGGAATGTATACAAATTACCCACAATGTCCCTCTCGATGTGAAGATAGTTTTCGAGGGTGGTGGTTGCAGTGGTTACCAAGGTGATATAGCTATAGATGACGTGTTTTGGATCATGGTGACTGTAAGAATGACGTGGACCCACGATACAAAACAGTGACTTTAAGTAACCACACATTACTTTATCTTCTAGTTTTTCAGCTTTCTATACATTTGTAAAACGTTCAGACGATAGGAATAATTCTAATCGATTCCTTATACCTTTATAGAAAGAATAGGTAACTTTAATTTCCAATCAAGGGGTATGTTAAATGGCATATAAATTACAATAATAATGAGATCAACATCCAAAAAGATGTTTAAAGAATAAGGAATACGAAAACAGAAAAACAAAAAAACAAAACAAACTTATTTATGGAAATAACCTAACATTTTTCTACTAGACTTATTTTATTGTCTCAGGAACATCATACACATAACATGATATTAATTATAAAGTACACAGATTTTTGGTCAACGTGGGTGGTATTTTATAATATAAATGTGTATCTCATTTTTGGTCACTGGCTGTCGTGGGGTGTATTATACTATAATGTGTTTTCCCAGAGATTGGGTCAATGGCTAAAAAAATCGTGGTATTATTAATATATAAATGTGTATTGACCAGATCTTGGTCACTGGCTGTTGTGGGGTGTATTAATATTATAAATGTGTATTCAGATAATTTGGTCACTGGTCAGCTGTGGGGTGTATTAATATATAAATGTGTATTGACAGATTTTGGTCACTGGCTGTCTGTCGTCGGGGTGTATTAATATATAATGTGTATTGACAGATTTTGGTCACGTGCTGTCGTGGGGTGTATTAATATATAAAGTGTGTATTGATCAGAATTTTGGTCCACTGGCTGTCGTGGGTGTATTAATTATATAAATGATGGTATTGAATATTTTGGTCACTGGCTGTCGTGGGGTGTATTAATATATAAATGTGTATTGACCAGATTTTGTCCTGGCTGTCGTGGGGGTGTATTTATATATAAAATTGTGTATTGACAGATTTTGGTCACTGGCTGTCGTGGGGGTGTAATTAATATATAAATGTGCTATTGACATATTTTGGTACTGGGC